TGGTGCCATCCGGTGCGTTTGTAAAGTTGGGTAATCAGATCGGTAGATTTCCACAGAGACTATCTACTGTGATTTATTATCGAACTGTATTAAATCATATTAAATCCAAAGTTAAATGACAGAATGGACACGTGGAGTCGTTCGTATATTGTTCCTCGTGGAATGCGACGTTGGAAAGCTCGTCTGATTAGCAGTGTCAGTTGCATCTGATTGTGGGAATCGTTACGGAGTAGACAGATTGAAGACAGAATTTTTCTCTTCTATAAACAGAACGCAACCACGAAGAAACTTTTCGTTTTATTAGCTCCGTGCATGTGAAACTTTAAATACTGTGTAACTTGCGAAACTTAAATAACTGTGTTTCTTAAAAAAATAATTTCAATACGATTCCACACACTTTTCCTAACGACTAACTAGTTTCTTTATTCCGAATTTATAAAAATCTTATAACGTTAAAAAATTTATAACATCAGTCTTCGAACTGAAAAATTTTTCCAACGTAACTTTTACAGTGTCAAATTATTTGTTAAAAAAATGTTCAAGTGTTTGAGAAAATGGTACTCTGTCGAGAAAAGATCGAGCGGATAGGAGAGAATGTTGCAAAATTCCTTCATCCATGATCATCTGCATCAACCCAACAGAAGTCTACACACTGATCCAATTTAATCACACTCAAGCACGACTGTAAACCGCATTAAAAATGTAAATAAAACCTCCTCTAATTAGAAATGTGGGAGAGATCTGCGTTAATTTAGGGTTGAATAGCTGAAGCGATGAAGTTCTCGTATTCGTGGAACGTAGATCTAGATAGAGATTTCATTTACGGAAACACGCACACGGGAAATTAGGTCTATTAGGGAGACAATGATCTTGACTATCCTAACGTAATAAACCTAACCAACGTAATCTTCTGACCTCGATCCAACCGAACCGGGGAATCAAGTGGCCCCCGGAAAATACCTCGAGTGGCAAAACTCTCTAAACCGAAAAATGGTCTCGCGAAACTGTTCAATTTACAAAATTGCAAGCATGAATCTTTTGGTAGGAGGGTGCGTTAATTAGGAGAAGCAATGAATCGTCGGATGTGAAAAATGATAAAAAGGAGGGAAAAAGGAAAAGGGGGAGGAAACAAGGGACAAGAGAGAATCTGGGAATGTCGAAATTTTTGGCACGCTGCCAATCCACCGGTTATCTTATTATGATCAAGAGAAATTAACCAGCTATTTATCGAGATTACACGCGGCGATATGCAACGTTATAATCTAAAATAAACCGCGCTAGGTTCCGCGGGCCTTTATCGAGACTTTTAAAAGCGGCATTCGCCAAACACGCGATACAGATACCGCGGTGTTATTGCAAACAACCGCGACGCTGCTTCGCCGAAAAAAGAGAAAAGAGCGCCTTCTTTGTACCGCGAATTGGATTTAATCGATCAGTTTCGTTGATACAGCCGTCGATTAGATTCGCTTACTGATCGTTTCCTGGCAATCTCGTTCGCGTATCTTCACGATGCAACGTGTCGGTTCTGATTTTTCGACGAGCTGTTTGCTGAACCTTCAGGTTCGCTTCTGATCGATTTTCTATCCAGATATTGCTAACTATTCGGAGAAATCTAGTTTTTGTTGCTTACGTTACTCGTGTTTTCCAGTTTCACTCTGAGATTTGCATTTATAATAGGTAGAGTTAGATGAACGTGACGAACGAAATTCATTTGTAATTCTAAGACACTTCGTGCTGTAACGAGCTCTGATAAATATGGTAAACTGCACTTTTGAATTGAATACTTTTAATCTTACAGCGTAGGATTTTTTAACATTCCTGATTTAATAAAACTGTCCATAAAATTCTGAGAGTTTCTAAGGGTTATTCTAAGTTTAAAGATAAATCCGATAAATTTCACTATTTGAATGAAATATTTCTACTTGTTGCAACGTAGCTACTTTTTTAGCATTGTTAATTTTCCAGAAGTATCTAATCCAAGTGTATCTCTATGTTAATTCACGCTTATATCTAAATGTTAATTTCCGTAGGAAGTAATACTTCCTCTATAAATTTCATATAATAACCCTGTGTACAGCGGGGATTTTTTTTTTTTTTTTATTTTGAAAGAAAAACTTGTTCACTCGAGATATTCAGTGTAGCCTACCATATTGGAGCAACCTCGTAAGTTAGTCGATCCATTCCACAAATGAACATTCCATGTAGCTGATTTAATATTCATACAAGGTGTACTGAAAAATCTACAATGTTTTTTGCTCTCGTAAACGCCTGGAAAAGCCTGTAGCTACACGCTACGAAGCATTATCTAACTACATCTGTACAACGAAAGAGAGTAACTGCTCTGTTTTGTAGATTAACTTCGATACAAGTCTAAAGAACACACACACACACATACTAATCCCGGCTCGAAGAATATTCATGTACGTCTGCCTGTTATCTAATGCATCCGAACAAGTTCGCAGACCAGCTCCTTGATCTAACAACTTATCTCGGCTAGATCAAACTGCAACATCGTTAACGATCCTGCGTCAAATTCCAAGATTACAAATTAACTCTGTTCGCTGGCAAAGCGAGACGAGATTTCGTCAAATCTCTGATTCGAGTTACGCGGCAAAAAGTTCGCGATAATTTCACGGAATCTTTGATCCGGAGAGTGGAACAAAACGCGGTGGTAATTTAGAAAATACGATCGGCGACAAAACGTGATAACCTAATGAGAAAAACTTTCTTCATCCATATTCCTCAGGGAGAAATAATATTTTGCGAAAAAATTCGGTTCCAAAGTAAACAGAAAAATTTGAGAACGAAGTATATGTAGGCGAAGAGATAAGGCGACAGATGCGACAGGATCGATAATATTATAAAGATAACTGATTTTAAAAAGTATGCTAAGCACACTTTGCCACTTTCGTAATCACCGGTACAAACGTATATCGATTACAGAACGAAAATCAAGGATCTAAGAGTAACTACAGATCTGCCTTACGTGTGAAATATACAGGGTGTCCCAGTTGGTTTCGATCAAACTTTGCCAGTATGTTCTACGAGTGTACTTAAGAACAAAATGTTATATAAACATAGGTCGTTTGAAGCTTCGTTAAAAAGTTACGCCAATAACAAGAAATACCAAGGGAATTCTAACGGGTGTGCTGTTATTATAACACAAAATACGAATAGATCAGCGACGTAAACTTGATTGTAACTTTTACCAACGCCATTCTTGTCTAGTATCATAGCAACCGTAAGATCGTTACCATTCCCTTCACACTTCCTACTTTTTCCCCTAACTTCTTAACGAAGCTTCAAACGACCCACGTTCACGTAACATTTTCTTCTCACCCACACCCATAGAACGCACCGGCGAAGTTTGATCCGAAACAATTTGGGACACCCTGTATATTGCGGAACGGAGGAGATCGGAGCAAGGTTGGCAAGGAAGGCTCGCGGCGAGATGGAGATCGACTTTGTCGTCGCGAAGGGCGACGCAGAAGGGTGAAAAAGGGAGAAGGTGGCGAAGAAGAAGAAGAAGAAGTAGAAGGCGGCTGGTGGATCTCGGCTCGCGTGGATTCGCGTGCACAGAAGAGGACGGAGCAAAGGCGGAACGGAGAGTGCGACGTGGCGCGCGAGAAATGAGCATACAGAGAGAAGAGACGGAGTCGGCGGTCGGCCAGTGCGCGAAAAGAATAGCTGGCTGATTCATACACGCGAAGTCACGAGCCGTACGTCGTACGCAGCCGGCGTACGGCCGTGCAAGCGTAATCGAAAACACACGAGATGCACACGTTTCACGGCGAGCTTCCCTTCGTCTCTCCTTCGGCTCCTCCTCTCCCTACCGCGCACGGCCGCCGCTACAAGCTTTTATACTTCGATTCTTTCTCATCCTTCCGCGAAATGCTTTATATCTCAAAGTGATCGCCATTAGCAACGATATTGCGGAATTTTCGAGTAATACCGCGGACCGTGGTGTAACACCGAGGGAAAATTGTCGCGGTGTTTGTGCAATACGGTGTACAGGGTGAGTCGCGTAACTTGTCCACCCCGGAAAAGTGTTTTATATATAAATGACACGATATAGAAGGGAACTTATGACGCTGAAACGATGTTTCGTATAAAAATTTTAAAAAGCAGTGGTCTATACTTATAATAATTTTTACGATATGAAAAATTCGTTCTTTGCAACCATGATTCCTGGCCATAGAGAAAAATTCTACGACCAGAAATGGCACATCTCTGGATGAACGTTTGTTTGAATGAAATTTTTGTAATAAACCCTCGCATACTTTAGAAATATGCGTTTCCATATGCTCCAGTGTAGTATAGGGGGATCTGCTACACTTTAACTCAAGTCTTTTAAAATTGTCAATGAACACTACCCTTGGCAAATAAAGCAAAAAAATTCTCCCATCTTTTATTCTCAAATTAAGAAGCGTTAAAAGAATCCTTAAAGCACCTTGCACTCTCTGAATACCCTACAGTTATACATACCAAGAGGTCCATAGAGAAAGGTAGTAACCTAGCGTATTACGTATTAAAAAGGCAGCGAAAGGCAGAGAAAAGGAGAAGAAGAAGAAGGAAAAAGGAGTGATTATTCGTGAAACGTCGAAACTTTTCCACGAGCGGTGAAAGGGTGCAACCTAAGGGACCAAGGGAGTAGAATACGAGTGTCCTGTTCCCGGGAGTCAGACGTACCACGAGCCCAGCCACCACGGAGACGAGAGTAGCAAGTAGAGAAGGCGGAGGGAAAGAAGGGCGAAGGGAGGTAGAAGAAAGTGGCCGCACGGTTAGAATAGTTAAAAATAACCTGACCAAGGGTCCTGCGCTGAGCTTCGGTTCCTGTAAACACGTCCATGCGGAGAGAGGCACGGCAAAAGGAGCAACGAGTAGACACGCGGCTCGCGTGTAGGCTCTCCCTCAGAAAGAGAGGAGTAAACGGGTCTCCATGGTGGCCGGAACGAGAGAGAAGAGGAACGAAAAAGGGGAGTAGATTTCGTGGTACTCACGTGCTTCCATAGAGGTATCTTGACTCGGCGGTGGCAACTGCGTCGTCGTTGGCGACGTGCTCGTGGTCCTTGTCGTCGACGTAGACGTAGACGTAGACGACGACGACGACGACGACGACGAGCCTTTGGCCTCTGCTGCGGTGACCTTGACCTGTTCTTCGCCACTCTCAGTCTCCTCGTCCTCGCTCGCCACCTCCTCCGGGCTCGGGCGTGTCCTTACGCTTCCAGCTCCCGGCTGCTCCTCATCTTCGGGATACGACCACGATGACATCGGCCCGGCAACTGTTGTGGTCCACTCAACGACACCACCACCACCACCTACGACCTCACCACTACCGTCCCCCGCGAACACCAACTTCCCCCCGTTCTTACGAGACGAGACACCTACTACTCCCTGGTTCTCGTCTTCCGACTTCCTATCGCGTCTTCCTGAACTGAACTCGTCGTCGTCGTCGTCGTCGTCCGGTAACCGCGGCACAGTTCGATGAACCAGACGAAACGGCACGGTAGTCCAAGTGACCGGCACCGCCGTAGTCACCGTCGTCGTCGTCGCCGTGGTAGCCGCCGTGATTGTCGAGGAATGCTCGTTCGAAGACGACGTCTCCCTGATAAAGTCCTCGTGATCCGTCGACGTGAACTCGACGATACCACCGTCGAACCGAGTCGAGGAAGATTCTTCTTTACGATGAGGACGTGAAAATCTCGCGTGAAGCCAATACGGTTCAACGAGGTCTAAAGAGGTGGACCGTTGATCATCGAGCAGACTTGCCGCGGCGACCTGCCGCCGTCTCGACCTGGTCCTCTCGTGAGCCAGACCTCCTCCTCCTCTTCCTCCTCTCCCGCCACCCTCGCCTCCTCTTCCGCCCGTTGATACAGGAGAAGAAGAATCCTTCCTTCGGATGGTATCGATTGTCGTTGGTTCCTGGGGAGAGTACAACCGAATCCCACCGAGACCGTCCCCTTGTTGTTCACCTGGTAGCGAAAACACCTCGTGATAATCCAGCTCCCCCTTCGAGCGACGATCGTACGCCGGACTGTCCTCCGGTGTTTGGTGGTTCGATATACGACGTGACGTTCGCCGGAAGGAAGGTAGCAGGGACAACGGTGAACGGTTGCCCGTTGATCGAGGCAGAAGACGAGGAGGCGCAGCGTCGAGGGACACGTAAGGATCGGACACCACCGGCGCAGCCGTCGTCGTGCACGTTTGATTGCCAAGAACAGCGACGACGAGAAGAAGCAGGGGCAAACCCACCCCGGATACGAACAATGCTTCTCTTCCTTTTGTTACCACCACCACCTCCCCCTCCTCCTCCTCCCCCTCCTCCTCCTCCTCCTCCTCCTCTTCTTCCAGATCCGTCTCCTCTCTCCTCTATCTACGCCAAGATTCCTCCACTCCTCCTCCGCCTCTTCTTCCTCCTCCTCCACCTCCTCCTTTTCCTGATCTACATCCAACCTTCGTTCCTTTACTACTCTTCTTCTGTTTTACACCTGCTGCACTCGTCCACGTCCACCGGCGGCGGCGGCAGCAGCAGCAGCAGCAGCTCGGGTTCCGCTTGTATCGACCCGATTCCAGGTGTCTCCCCTTCTTTTTCTTCTTCTTCTTCTTCGTCGTCGCGACAACTGGTCCACCCACGAGATTTCGGTCTCGCATTTATCCCGTCGCGTGTCCAACCTTTCTGCCGAGTTTTGTGCGCCGCGCGAACTCGACCGACGATATCGCTGCTACGCGACCGCGTTCCGCCATCATCGCGAGCCGTGCCGATCGTCGTCGTCGTCGCGAACGATCGCCGGACGAGCCTTCGCGTACCCACGCGCCTCCGTTGCTCGCCCTGGCATTCTCTGTTCCTGCTTAAACGCTCCTCCGCCTTTTAACGCCACGAATTTTCGAGAAGCGGACGACGACGGGTTTAGCGGCCTCGACCAGCGACTACCACGGGTCTGTAACAAAGAAACACCGGACACCGATCGTTAGGTACGAAAGAAACATTTGTTTGCTTATCTCGGAGAAAAGAAAGCGATTTAAAGGAAAGTTCGCATGAAATAAAGAGCGAAGATGTGATTTTTTTTTTTTTTCTCAAGAACTGATTGCGATATTGTTTCGAAGTTAATGTATACGCGATACGAACGATTGCAGTACACGATAACGAGGAGAGGAAAGATATGTAACGAATTTGGACAACACCAGACGTAAAGCTCACAAGGCCTATGTCCACAGTGATATGTATTCTGATACGATGTAAACAGAACGGAGAGTCACCCTGCGTGCAAGATCGTCGTGAATAAACAAGCAAGCTCAAATTCGCGTGCAAGTGTATTCTTGTAAAATAACGAAATACACAAAGCTAACGTACTCTTTAAAAGTATATCGATTGAATGATTAGCCGTTATCTAGCCGCGAGATACTTAAATATTTCAACTCTAAAAAGCGTGCAAAGCAAAGTATCGTAATATCGTTCTTCGATACAAATTTCAACGATAAAAATAATCGGTGAAATATTAATCTTTAACGATATCACACACTAAGTCGTGATATTCAACTTGAAAAGAAAGTCCCGATAAACTCGAGTACACTCTCGAAAGAAAAGAATTCTCGAAAAAATTATCTTCAAATTCCTTCACCTCCGTCTGACAATTCGGTATTTACATTCGACGTTCTCGCATATGTTTAACTTGAAACGAAATCCGACACTCCGGATACCTCCGTTTCAAGCGAAACCACCCTGTATTAACATTGAAGTTCTTATACGCTCAAAATCACTGGAATAAAGACATAGAGGTACGGCACAAGCGGTATCAAACGATCCAATTATAAACAAGAGGAGATGGGCCACGAGATAAAGAGGAACAGCCCCCGTGCAACATGCACTGTCTTATTCTGGTCTATAGACTCATGCTTCCTACAACTTCCTAAAATACGAGCCCCGAGGAAATAGTTCACGAACGGATCCCAAGTGATTCGTTTCGTTCTACGTTCTACCCTCGTTCCGTTCTCCCCCCTCCGGCGGTTTCGTCCCTCTTTCTGGCTTTGTCTCCGCGCGCGCGTGCACCATCCGACAATACAATGTAATGAACCGATGTCCAACACGCACGCACGCACGCACGCACACACGCGCGCGAGAAACGCGTTCTCTCTCTCCTGTTCCCCCCTCTACGCTGCCCCTCGCCCTTTTCCCTCTCCCCGCGCGACAAACCAAGGGTGGCGAGCGTTCCCGTGCACGCACGTACGCATGCACGCACAGCATAAAAATGAAAATGTTGCCCCGCGGAACGCTCACTCGAGATTTCGAGTGCTCCTCCTTCCGACGAGTCCGCCTCGCATCGCCCGTAGATTTATTATTTATGTCGAGCATCGGTGGAACTGCCGTTCCTCGGTGGTTCTTTGCACAAGGATATATCCCACGATAACTCTCTCTCTCTCTCCTGTCAACGAAACGTGTTGCCGCGTTCTCAACGTGCGAGAAATAATTATTCCGACGCTTCTTCACTGTCGATAAAAACAAAAACAACGACGACGATCATTATCACGAGTCACACACACACACACACACATGCGATAACGGGACGATCGAGACGATACGAACAGTCTAGTCGCGATCTTGTGGAAAGTTATACGATTACGAGGATATACATAATACGTACATATCTGACTGCGAAGACGAATTTTTCGTGGACTTTCGTTGTGATTATTATTTCGACGAAAGAATACGCGAAATCGATGAAATTTTTCGTTGATATACACCTTATTGTTCGTTTAATTATTTAACGAATTTATGAATATGTACTAAAGTTCTAACGTTATTTTCGTATATGCTGCGTAATGATAAAACGTACAGGTCACGTGACTGGTTTTTCAATCATGGCGCCTGAAATGCGAGGGAATTCCTTTTTCGATGTATTGACAAGGGAAACATATGTACGTATTATAGGACGAGAAGGAGATCGAAGGGAAAATTTCGACAGAATTTATTTACCAAGAACACTAGGCTCCATTAAGCGCAGCATCGTAGGAAGAGAAATCGCGAAAATCCTATTTTTATGAACGGTCGTCGGGTATGAATAGTTCGGCCCACCTCTTCGCTACAGGCATCGTCTCCTAGAGTATGCCAACATAGAATCACGAAGGAGGAAAAGGGACGGTGGTCGGGAACAGGCAGAGTGGTCTGTTTCTACTGTCCACGCTCTCCTAATGCAAAACTCGTGTAGCATCGATAGACGTCGACTTTAACCACGACACACTGGTGACTGGCTTGGATAGTTGTGTTTCGCGGCGGTTTGTTCGACGTACTTTATCAAACAGGAAATCACGAACAACGAGGAAAAGAGGCCGCTACGACACAACCGGCGAATATTTGTTTACGCAGAATACGCGAATCCTGCTAATTATAGTCACAGAGTCGAAGGGAGGAAACGGCGAAGACACTATTTTTACGAGTCTCCCGCCAGAATATCGTCGGACGTCTGCCTTCGTCTCTGACCGCAACAAAGCCAACACGGTAATAAAAATATTACTTCGGCTCTTACACGTTTGACACTCGACGAATTCTGCATAGTAAATATTTTCCGCGATGCACATGCTTCGTGCTTCGGTATGCGAGAGTGACTGAACGCGCCATTTAAGGACGCGGGGCAATGTTTTCTTCGAAACAGTAAATCGCGCCTCTTCTAGACGCGGTCGTAAATTATGATTGGCTGAACGAAAAAGTACATGCGGAGTATGATATTAAGTGGTACGGTTAATAAGTTTACGTAGGTTCCTTTATTTCGTAATGCATTTAATGGTATAATAACAACAGTTAAAAACACTGAATAAGGTTTTAATGGTTTACACGTGTTAATATAGCGTGTATCGATCAATCTTCAAAATTTTTCGCGGAAAGTGAGGTTAGAATACAACACGAGCGCTGCTTGGTGTGTCGCGCGCGCGTGTCAGCGAGTGGGAATTCGCTGTTTTCATGAGGAAAAATGTGCGCGGCACGCGCGCTGACGTTCTATTTTCGAATGAAAGGCGCGATCAGGGGACAAGAACGAAAGAGAGATGCAGAAACAGGGAGAGAAAGGGAGCGAAAGAGAAAACGGACAGACGTGAGAAAGAGAGAAAGACGAATCAGCGAAGCGTGCGTGCAAGACGAGGACGGTAGGAAGAAGCGAACGAGACGGACGCAGGAACGAACTGCGAGGAAAAGCGTGGAACAGAAAGCGAGAAAGCACGCAACGAGAGCAACAACATTGTGCAAAAACGAAGACAGATTGTGATGCATTTGTATGCGTATGTATGCGAGCGAGGAGGACAGAGCACGAGTGTGTACTCTTTGAATACACGGCGGGAGAAGGCGGACAGAAACAGAGAGCGAAGGGGACGAAGAGAGGAAAGGAGACGGAGAGAGCATGCTGCCGTTGTGTAGTGTGGACACCGGCAAGGAACTCCGACTCGCTTGTGCTAGGCGGCCATGCTGGGTCTCTCTCGCGTTCCGAGAATGGGTACCTTTTGCGTACACGATGAAAACTCGTGTATCCCCTGGCAGAAAATTCTGTCGCGCACGTTGCCGCTTGCGGTTGCGTAGAGCGTGGTTCGTTCGGTGGAAACACACGGCACAGCGGACGACGATTGAGGGTATCGTTGAACGAAAGCAAAAACAAAGGAAAAAAAAAGGCGGAAAGTAAGAGAGAAAGAGAAAGAGAAAGACTCGAAGGAGATTCGGCGACGAAAATGAAGACGACGACAACAACACAACGTGCTCAAGGCGAAACTGACGAAACAACAAAAAAGACGAAAAGAAGCGACAGGATGTAAAATAAAAAAGAGATTAAGCGTGCAAGAAAAAGAAAGAAAGGACACAAGCACACGCACCGTGTTGACCACCACGCGTTCGCTGTTTGGAATGAAGGGAGGGGGCACCTCTGTTCACGAGCACGACCAGACGTATACGCAGTACACGTAAAACTACGCGCGGCAACGACACACACGACCAGTG